TGGTTAAGCAACTGCCTTCGGCTCAGGTCATGATCCTGGAGTCCCGGGATCGAGTCCCGCATCGGGCTCCCTGCTCGGCGGGGAGCCTGCTTCTCCGTCTAACCCTCCCCCCTCTCATGTACTCTCTCTCTCTCATTCTCGCTCTCTCAAATAAATAAATAAATCTTTAAAAAAAAAAAAAAGAAAAAAGAAAAGACTGGCAGCATTTCCCCATATGCAAAAGGCACTTTAAAAATTCCATCCTGGCACACGGAAGCTCTCAGAAACTCTCGGTAAAGGGTAATTACACCTGCCGCCGCTTGGCCGCCTCCCTCCTGGCCCTTCCCCGACTTCCCGACCTTCACTCGGAAAACAAACAGCTTGGAGAGAAGCGAAGCTCCACCCCCCGCCCCAGCAATCTTCCCGCCCCTCTCTAGCGCGTCTTCTCAGTTTACTTAGCTCGCCCCCACCCTTTCTCGCGGCGTAGCCATCAGGGCGCATGCGCAACTCCGCCCCTCTCCGGTCGGGCCCGCCCCTCGGGTCTAGTACCGCCTCTTCCGCGTTCTCGGAGCGACCTGCTGGTGGGTGCGCGCGACCGGTCCCGCAGCTGAGGTAAAGGCGACGCAGCGAGGTATCCCTCCGAGCAAAATGGGGCGGGGGTCTGTGAACGAGTCGGTGTGCCCGGGACAGGGCAGTCAGGGCCTTCAGAGTGGCCCGAGGTCACGATCCGATCGTGCTGCGGAGTGACCGTCGAAGGGAACGCTTCTTTAGGGCTCTCCTCAGGGACCCCGTCTGTGACCTGGCGGGGTTCCGTCTGTGGCGAGCTCAGGACGCGGCGTGATGCCCCCGGCCGGGGCTCAGCCGGGACCTGGGGTCAGGATTAGGTTGTGACAGGTGTCCGAGGTCGGAGCTCAGTCAGTGGCCAGTGTGAAACTCAGTCCCTACCATGCTGTATGGCTGGGCTCAAGGCTCACAAAGTCCAACATCACGAATAGATTTTCACATGAGGAGTTTATGATCTATGTGCACTACCTTATTTTAAAGTTAACTGTTTTCATCCAAAAGCTCTTGACATGTGTGGGTTTGCTGTACAGTGAGGAGAGATGATGCTGGGCGTATTCTCTTCTTAGGGAGTTTCCAGGTTACCTGTCAGATGGTCAGTGGCAGATTAGAGCCCTGCGCAGGTGACACGAATGAAATGTTGGACGTGCTTGACTTTGGGTTAGGTAGTCCCGGGTTTAGCTCTCACCTCTGCCACTTCCTAGCTGTGTGCCCTTGAGTCATTTCCCCTCTCAGAGCTTCGGTTTGTCTTGTATAAAAAGGGCATAATAAGGGGCGCCTGGGTGGCTCAGTCGTTAAGCGACTGCCTTCGGCTTAGGTCATGATTCCAGGGTCCTGGGATCGAGCCCCGCATCGGGCTCCCTGCTCGGCCAGGAGCCTGCTTCTCCCTCTCCCACTCCCCCTGCTTGTGTTCCCCTCTCTCACTGTGTCTCTCTCTGTCAAATAAATAAAATCTTTAAAAAAAAAAAAGGGCATAATAAGGTCATTGTGAAGGTTGACTAGGATTACATGGGTCACCTAGTATGGCACCTGGGTGTCGAAGACATGGCAGGTGTGATTTCTAGGAACTAGGTCATTTTGGATGGGAGTACTTTAGAGAGGCCCCTGGGGAAGAGTTGAGGTGCCCTAAGTCTTGAAGCCTCCTTGGACTTTATAGTGGAACTTACCTTGCAGAATGGGAAGGGAACTAGTGCTTATTGCCCATGGCTCATGTGCCAAGCACTGCACTGGCCCGTTGATGTATACTGTCGCACTGGATCCTCAGCCATCGGCCATCGGCCTCAGCACCAGCCATCGGCCTGGTGCTTTCAGTCTCACTGCCCTTTGCTTCAGCCCCTCTGAAAAGGACAAGGCTGGAAGTGATGTAGAGACCCAGGATTGGGTTTTCATATGGAGCTGAACCAAGCTGGAGACTTTGGCGTCCCCTTTCCCAGTTTCTCCCACCTCAGCTCTTCCCTTTCTGTGATCCCAGAGTCACTTGGGTTCTTGACTTTGGGAAACCTGTTATTCTTGTGCTGTAGCAGATTTTGATGGTTAGAGGGCTGGCAAGAGAGCACCTCTTAAACTTAGATTGCATGAAGCTGAACCTTGGCAGAGAGAAGCTCTGTGAACAGGACCTGTTGGATTCCAGCACACGCTTAGGAAGTGTATGTGGTCTCCTGTTATGTGGTCTCATAGTAATCTAGTAATTTGGTTCCTTTTGCATCCTTTTCATGGGTGCCCATGTGATCTTCCTTAGACAATGTTCTCATCATGTTATGTCTCTGCTCAGAAACCTTGGCAGGCTTCCTTGCCTACTATATAGAGTCTGGACTCCTCAGCCGCATAGACAAGTTCTCCCATAATCTGTTCCCAGACATCTCTCCTGCCTTGTTTCCCTTTGTTCTCCCAAACCTGCCCTGTGCCTCAGTCAAAATAAACCAGTTTTTGTTCCTTAAACACTCCCTCCATGTTCCTTTGCTTGCACTCTCTTCCTGACATTCCCTCTTCCTTCCCGTCTTTCAAGGTCAGTGTCTCATGTGACCTTCTCAGTGAAGCTTCTCTGATCCCCTTGCTGGATTAGTTGCCCTCCATCCCATTTTCTGTAGGGGGCGCTGAACTTCGAATATAGCTCTGATGACTGTCTACCTTGGGGTAGGTTACCCCATGTGTACTCTGAGTACACTGGCTAAGGGACCATGTCTGTTTCATTCCCCCTCTTCCTGGCACATAGTAGGCCTTTGCAGTGTTTGTGGTTGAATGAGTCATTAACATTTTTTATATACTCGCTTTGGTCTTTGTTTTATGAGCTTTCAGGTTCAGAGTGGGCCTTTGTGTTTTTCCTTCTCTTTGTGCCTAAGGAGAGCCCTAGTTTAGATTGATGATGCCCTGATTACAGGCATCAAAGGCAAGAAAGTGCAGGAATTCTGTACAAGGCAAGATTCTTCATTGCTGTTACTCTTCTCTTGCCTTTGCTGTGAGTTTTGTTGGAAGGAAGGTTGTGCTCTGTTCAAGGACCTGAACTGAGTGTGATACAGTTCATTCAGGGGAAAACTCACAGGTGGTTTATTAATCTGTTGTTCTGCCTTTGGCCTTGGTATTGGCCCTGGTCCTTCTCATTTGGGAACCTGCAACTACGAATTCACATTTTTCCTTGCCAACAGCTTCAGCATGTGGAACAGAAGGTTCTTTGATGATCATAGAGAAATACACATCGTTGATAGTAGAAGGAGCTTGGGAACCATCTGGTTCTACCTCTGATTTTACAGATGGGGAGAGGCCCCAAGAGGGGAAGGACTTGATTAAGACTGCACAAGGAATCAGTCAATGGTGGAGATAGTACTAAAAGTGAGATAGTACTAAAAGTGAAAGTCCTGACTGTTTTTTCCAGTCCACTACCTTTTTAATATAATATCTAACATTTATTGAGCACTTACTATACAGCAGATGCTGTTTTCATGCTTTATATGTAACACCTTAAAATTCTGTTTGTAGACTTGGAAACTGAGGCAGATAGAAATCATTCAGATCTACTTTCTGATTCCACAACTCTGATTTTTAATATGGTGGAAATGGCAGTCATCTCCTAACCAGTGGGTGGGAACAATTCTCCAGAGAGCTTGCTCCCAGATCATGCTACCTCTGTGAGTAAGAGATGTCCTCCTGGCAATGTCCCCCTGTAACCTGGGGAGATGTCTTGAGAGGAATCCGGAGTGCGTTGAAAGAATGGATGAAAAAAATGAAGCAAGCCAGTGAGTATTAGTTTATTGTGTTTATCAAATGCAGTTTTAGAATAAACTTAGTCCAGGATCTTTCTGTAAAGATTCCCAGTCACGGGTGACAAGATTCAATTCAATAAACACATATTGAGCTCTTGGTATGTACAAAACCCTGGTATTGAGAAATATACACACAGGAAAACAACACATTTCCTGCCCTCCAGTAAGTAATTGTCTTCTCAGAGCCTTCTCCCTCCAGTGTAGTTGGGAAGATAGAGAAGCACATAAATAACTGAAATCAGACTGACTGTGGTAAGGAATGTAAACAAAGTGGGAGTTTGGGAAAAGGAGAAATCAATCCCAGCATGACCAAAGGGAGTCTAGAAAAGGATTCCTGAAGATGGAAATTTTGCTGGGCTTTGGAAGAAGCTCATTCCTATGAGAAGCTGCAGTCTGAGCAGTGGTCTAGAGGTGGAAAGGAGCAGGTGTGTGTGTGTGTGTGTGTGTGTAGGAGAGGAATGGAGCAGG